GGTGGGAGTGGGAGTGGGAGTGCGACTGGCACTGGGGCTGGCACCGGACGGAGGAACGGGAAAGCGAGTAAACCGTGGCGGTGGCGGACCGACCTGGGCAAGACACAGCCCTTCTGGGAGGGCTGGTTCACCGGCCTGAGCAAGAAGTTCCTCGCGGGGAGGGGCGGCAAGATGCTGCTGCTTGCTGGGACGGACAGGTTGGATACCGAGCTGCACTATCGGGCAGATGCAGGGTACGTGTGTGTTATGGCTCCTTCCGTTCCCTCGATTTCTACCTCTCCTTGCGTGATAGCATGACTAACTGGTGACTGCCCTCCGCAGGCAAGTATGCTCTCCAAGTGTTCCCCGAAGCCGGCCACTTCATTCACGAGGACCTGCCTGAGAAGACGGCGATTGCGCTGGTCGACTTCCACCGGCGGAATGACCGCGGCGCGTTGGTGCTACCGCCTAAGGTATCCGATTTGCTAGCGCAGGGAAAGAGAGTATAACTTGGTTAAAGGGGCGGGTGCATTCCTTACCCCTGAGCTGGGTGGCATAGATGGTCGGTGGTCCGTACACAAGTTAGGAGATACCAGTGACATAATATCGACATGACAATTATTCAAAGCTTTACGAAACGGGGTCTTGATTTCTACCAGCCCCCCCATCTACTGTGCCCGCCTCGCACACCAGGATATCATCCAAATCACAGCCTTAAAATGCCATTCATGTCCGTACGCCAGCCGATCGCTACCTATGCCAAAAATACGTAAACAAATACATCCTATTCTTACACCGCAACAGACGCCGCCACTGCAACAGGCCCCAACCCCTGCTCCGACTCCAGTTCCGGCTCCGCCACCTCCAACCTCTTAGCAGGCTCCTCCTTCACCTCCTCCCTTTTCCGCTTCTTCGACTCCTGATCGTTTTGTTCTAGTTGTTGTTGACCCTTATTCTTATTCTTCTGCTTCGGCCCAGGGCGGACCTCAAACTCGCCCAGCTTCAGCAACCGGTCCGTCTCCCGCGCCTTTTCCTTCATCCCCTCAAGCCCGAGCGTGTCGACGTACTCAACATACGACCGGCACTTGTGCAGGCCCCTGTGCACGGACGCCTTGCCGGGCACCATCTGCGCCAGCAAGAACTTGGTGTTGGCCACCTTGTTCTCCACCTCCATCGCGTACCGCAGGTACTTTTCCGTCGTCTCCTGCCACGTCGCCAACCCCCCCTCGGCGCCGCTCCGGAAACAGCTCGGGTTCCTCTCCGCCGCCGTCGCGATCATGGCCCCGTCCACCCCAAACTCCTCCACCAGCGCGTCTGCCTGGTCTCGGCTCTCCACATCCCCATTCATCAGACACGCCACCCCCGCCTCATGACACACCTCCCGCACCATGCGCAGCTGCCCACGAATCGCGCGCTCCCGGGGGCGCATGGGCGTAGTCCGGCAATGGACCGTCAGGCCCGTGATACCGGTGCGCACGAGGCGGCGCACCAGCGCCTCCGTCTCGGCGGCGGTCTCGAGCAGGCGGATCTTGACGCTGACGCCGAGGCCGTAGGCCGGGGTGATGTCGCGCACGAGGGCCTCGAGGATGCCGGCGAGCTTCTCGGGGGTGCGCAGCAGCGCGGCGCCCATGCCGCCCGACACACTGAACGGCTTCGGGCAGCCCGCGTTGACGTCGATCCCCGCCACGTCGCCCGCCACGAACCGCGCCGCGGCCACGGCCCGTGCGGCGTCCGCGGTGCCGAGCTGGAAGATCAGTTTGCCTTTTTCGCGGGTGGGGTCCAGGCGGTAGATGACGGATTCGGGTACGCTGTTGCCGTTTTCGTTGTGGGTGTTGGCTGGGCTGTAGGAGTGGGAGGGCTGGCGGGTGTACTCGATCATGCTTGTGCGTGGGTTGACGCGGCGCACGGCGCCGATGAGGGAGTGGTCGACTGTTTCGGGGCCTGGAGGGGGTTTGGGTTAGTTGAGTGCATGATGTGGGCATTGGTGGAATGGCAGGAAACGAACCCCACACTAAATCGGCGCCGTAGTGCAGTGCGAGCAGGCGCGAAGGCAGTTCACCGGAGCGAACCATAGGCGCGAGGACGAGTTTACCGCGATAGTCGACGCCCCGGGGTGGGATGGGGACACGCGGGAGTGTCATTGGGGCGGGGATTGGGGCGATTGACGGGGCATTTGCCGTTGCAGAAGTTGTCGCTGCTACCTCCTCAGTGGTCGCCATGGTGCTGATGCTTCGAAGTCCACGCAGAAAGCGGGCAGTTCGAAACATCCCAATGTTGAAAGAGAGTGATGGTGGGGGTTGAGTCAAAATTACCAACCTGAGGTAGTACCACATGCAAGGTGGGATGGATTTCGGTCAATGCCCAGCCGCCATGAGAAATTCTTATCTTATCAGACACTGAGATGCCAAGCACGTGCCAAGCAGTCTTACAGCCACACGTGCCACAGGCTCAGCCTAACCCTAACCCCCTTTCTTCAACATGCGGACCCTTTCCCCCTTTCCACATTCCACATGGCAGTGGATGTCAACGTTTAAAGTGGATGTGGCCAAGTTTTATCTGTTGCGTTGATCGGTTTGTAATATCAAACCTCTTCGATGTTTAGGTTCTATCCTATTCGTCCATCTTAGAAGCCATGCGTCGAAACGAAATCCTTCACATGCTCTTCGGACCCCGTGTCTTCCCAACTCCCCTGCTGTCCATACCCAAACCCAAACCCAAACCCATCCATACCCATATTTCGCACCCATGTCCGGACCCTGTGGTCGCGGCCGGATGAAAAGCCGCCAGTTAATTATAACTAAGCCGGCAAAGACCACAGAGCATTGATAGTTGGCGCACCTATTGAAAGTGTCCTGCGTGCCCATGTTTCTTTCCCCACGCTGCGTCATGGCACAGAGCCCCGCGCCATTCCCTGGAGGTCCCGGCGGATGCACTCGTGGTCATCGCGGCGATTGGAAAAGTGTCAAGAAACGTGGCATAACGGTGGACCGCAGGAATCATTGGCGTCAAACGCGGCAAACAGCAAATCTCGACTCCGTGGAATTGATCGCCAGTGGATGTCTCATTGCGAGGCCGTTGGCTGTCGCCGTGTTGCCTCTAACTAGTGGTGTCTCTGATCCATTTGTCGCACTAGCAATGCTTGATCGGAGAAATAATGCCATACCATACGGGGTCCCAAAAGACGGAGACGTTGGGCAATCGAGGACGCTGTCAGCTAGATCTTGAGGTCGTCGCCGAACATGTCGGCTGACAACAACCAAGAGCCGTTGTCCGGTGCCGGCAGTCCGACTTGGCATAGCCATTTCACCGCCGGCCAAGCCTTCCCCGATCCCGATGCCCAATTCGGCGCGCCTAAGGTGCCGCCTAGAGGTCCGTCTGGCCGGGTCTTGCCGGGTATCGTGGTCGACGAAGCCGACATGGACCCGGTCGGCTGCCTCACCGCGCATGGCGGTGACCAACTCCCAAGTCACTGCCCGTGCGTCAGCGGCCAAACACACACAATAACGCCGAGGGCTTTGCATACATTGTCTCGCCCGCGCGGCGCGCTCCAGGAGCCCAAGCCGTGGTATGCCGTCGAGCATGTCCCTTCATCAAAACATCAAACATTCCGACGGTCAATCTCTCCATGGTTGGGCTCACAGGCCCAGAACAAGGCGCTGATCACAGTGAGCCTGACCCGCTCTTTTTAGGGTCCTGGAGTTGTCCCATGTCCGTGGTTTGAGTGGGGTGTCTAATCGTGAGGAGCACAGACGGAGAACCGACAGTAAAACGAACAGTGCGTGGTGCGCAGTGAGCAACAGAGGAAAGGGGCAGAAGGGAAACCCGCCGGCCCACCTAGATCCCCGAGATCTCATGTTATCCGTGGGACCGTTTCGTCCCGGGATAAAGCCTGTTGCTGGCCTACCAGAAATGCGAAGAAAAGGGGTTGTTTTGGGAGCCATATCGCTGGTACGACGACCGCCGTTCTACCATCCCATGATCGATTTCAAAAACAGATCCGAGACGGGTTCGTTGCCAACTGCCCCATGCCAATTCCCCAGTCTGGAAATACCTTCACTGCCTTGGCAGCCCGCTTCAGCCCAGGTGACCGCGGGAGAGCGGTTTCATCTTCGATGGCAAGGAAAAAGAAAACCCAAAAAATCAAAAGAATCCGGGGTGCCGACCAGGGTCGCCAGCCATCGATCTGGCCCCGGTCTCTGGCCCGAAATCCCATCCCCGTTGATTTGGCGGCGCATATCACAATCCGTCACGGGGAACTTGACATGGAAAAGCTGCTGAAAGTGAAACTGTGGGCATCCGGGTGGCGCTGCCGAACTCCTTCCTCCCAAACGTTGAATGCCCCTCTGGCTCCCATGCTATTTGTGACGTAAGTGGCTTGCTCCCATCGCTCGGCAGTCAGAATTGGTCGTTGGTGTAGGGGTCGACAAGAGAAAGGACATGAAGGAGCCGTGAAAGAACAAAAATATGGGATTCCAGGTTGTTTCTGACGGCATCTCCCGATGCCCAATTCAAAGAAACATGCTATTACATCCATCAAAGGAACAGGAGGCTGAGAGAGGAAAGGATGGAAACTAAAACCTGTAACTGCGACCGGTCCCGAGAGAATCCCGCACTGTGCGATGAACTTCTACCCAATCTCATCGCACATCTTGCGGCTCACAGCCGATGAGCCGGCCTTGGTTTTGGCACGGCCCCGCCAGCACACTGGCCACCTTCGAGCCAACCTGGGAATCTCTCTTCTGAATGCTCACTGGTCAGCTCCCCGCTCCGAAGCACTGCGTTTCCCCTCTGACCGCCCGGTGAGGACGAACCGGCGCGACTTTGACAGCTCGACAAAGCCCATGCGTAGGGGATGGATGGCGGTTCAAGGGATGTGGGGGGGAAGGGGGGCAAATGTTTTGTTCTCCGCTATGGCTGGATGCATAACTCAAATGAGGTATGTACCTACTCAGTTAGCCGTTAAGTGATGAAGGAAATGCCCAACTCATAAGGTAAGTGCCCACGCGGTGGACACACACTCGCTCATATCGTATTGAGTATTGAGTGTAACCATCCTCGGGCTGCAGCAAGGCGCGGGAGATCTGTCACACAAACCCATTGCCGTAGCGAGTTGTCATTTCTCTAAAAGGCTGGGAAACACGGGATGAGGTGTTTCTGCACCCTTCGTTGCCTCGTTCGGTTTGCTACATCTCCTGATCTCCTTGCCATGGCAGCAGTCGCTCCACCTATACAGGCCATCCAACAGTGTCAGAACCCTGTCTTCAGCCCCGCAGTGGCGGTTAGGTACAGACGGTGTCAGAGGGAGCGCCTGGATTCGGATGCAACTGGAAAGGCAGAAGAGGCGAGCGTTTTATTATTCGGGCAGTTGAAAATGCTGGTTGCCTTGCTCTTCGGAGCGGGGAAGCCACGCCTTGGACAGACGGCAGGCGTCGTTTGGGCTGCTTCCCACCCCGCGATTCGGCTGCCCCGCTGCCTGATGAAACCCGGATAGTTCTTGCCTCCGATCATCCATGAGGTGTTCTGAGGTGGCACGCACTTCCATCGGTCGGGTAGGTGCCAAGCAGCCCATCTGGGGGCCTACAGACACCTAGGTCTTGGATAGGAAGGAATGGGGGGTGGAATTGCCCGTCCGAAAACTCAGATTGTAAATAAATACCTAAACTAAAGAAATAGTAAAACGGTACCTGAAATCCTCTCCTGTCACAGAGCCTCCGTCCCATCAACTGTCATCAGACTTATTTTGCCATCATTCGAGTCCAGACGGGCCAAAGAAAACAATAAACCGCCACCTTCTGATTCCCAAACGATGCAGGCCCTGCAGCTCGCAAAACCCTCTAGAACGTTTCTCTCCACGAGAGCCCTAGCGCAGAGTGCGATGCAACCACCACCACGCCCCGCTGGACGCATGTAAACCGATGTATGGAAATCCTAAGATGTGCCAAAAACCGACCAGCACCCAGATTTCTAGACACCGCTAAGCACCAAAGGGGGCGGTGGTGCAGCGAATTGGCAGCGGACCGCCGATCCATCCCCTCCTTGGCGCCCCGACGGGTCCTCCCCAGCAACTTCCCCATCCTCCCTCCTCCTCCTCCTCTCCCTGCAACCTTCAATCAACCCTCGAGGTGATCAAAGGCCGCTTGTCTACTACCTAACCCGCTCCGATCCGGCCGAATTCTGCGAGATCTCTAGCGTTTTTGTTATTTTTATTGTTCATCCGACTCGCTCTTTGATCCCGTTTACCCCTTTCCGAAAACCGGGGCAAGAGCGACGAGGGGGGGGCGAACAAAGCTCCAAGACGGCGCGTCTCCGCTTTCACTTAGGGTCCCTGCGGATACGGGCGATTCGGCCTTTTCGCTTGCCTTTTCGCTTGGCTTTTCGCTCGCAGTTTTTGCGTCCTACGCCGCCAAGCAACCCCCGACACACCCTCCAGCGCGACCCGCCCACACCAGATCCGCCTCACAGCCAGCCATCTCGCAACCCATCCCGTCGTCTTTTCCATCGTCCAAAACCAGGCCGGTGCATCAGACCGTCCGGATTTTCGTTGCAGGAGGCTCCCGCATGAAGACCCGCTTACCACGCCAAAGACGATAGTCATTCCGACACCGATCCGTCTCCCCCACCATCCGGTCGTGTTTCTTTTGTCAGTGCTGCTAACCGAGTCGCTCCCCCCGCCGCGGCGCTCACGCCGTCCACCGCCGCAATTATGAGCGGCGAGTCTTCGCTGGCAGTCGTCACTGCCGTCGTCAGATCTCTCGCGACCGATCCCACGACACCCCCTCCGGCGGTCTCCAATGCCTGTCCCAGCGTGAGGCTACCCGGCCCTGACAACGCCGAGAAGATTGAACTCGAGCGGGAGCTTGCCGCCCTCGTTCTCAGGGTTCAGCAGCTCGAGGCACGGGCAAACTCGGCCCCTACCCACGTCTTCCCCGACACCCCCAACGAGACCGCCGACAGCATATTCGCAGACGACAAGCCTCGCCCGAGGCCCAAATATCCCCCCAACCTCCCCCGCAATGGCTTCATCGACGAGGCCCTCGAGGGCCTGCGGGAGCACGTCGACGACCAGTCGAAGCTCCTCGATAGCCAACGCCAGGAACTGGACGGTGTAAACGCTCAGTTGATCGAGCAGAAGCAACTCCAGGAGAAGGCTCTGGCCATCATCGAGCAGGAGCGCGTGGCGACCTTGGAGCGCGAATTATGGAAGCACCAAAAGGCGAACGAGGCCTTCCAAAAGGCGTTGCGTGAGATCGGCGAGATCGTCACGGCTGTCGCCCGCGGTGACCTCTCCAAGAAGGTCCGCATGAACAGCGTGGAAATGGACCCTGAAATCACAACATTCAAGCGCACTATCAACACCATGATGGACCAGCTGCAGGTCTTTTCTAGCGAAGTCTCTCGTGTCGCCCGCGAAGTCGGGACCGAAGGTATCCTCGGCGGTCAAGCTCAGATCGAAGGGGTCGATGGCACCTGGAAGGAACTGACTGATAACGGTGCGTCTTGCTTTGGCTTCCGCCGCACGCCGGGTCACCCCCGTACTGACTTTCGAGGCTCTAGTGAACGTAATGGCTCAGAACCTCACGGACCAAGGTATGCCCCTTGATGAGTGGCCTCGGGTAGCCAGCAAAACTAACCTCCCCCCCAGTGCGCGAGATCGCATCCGTGACAACCGCCGTCGCGCACGGTGATCTAACCAAAAAAATCGAACGCCCTGCCAAAGGCGAAATTCTCCAACTTCAACAGACGATTAACACCATGGTGGACCAACTCAGAACATTTGCCTCCGAAGTTACGCGCGTAGCCAGGGACGTCGGAACCGAGGGTATTCTCGGTGGCCAAGCCGACGTCGAGGGGGTGCAGGGCATGTGGAACGAACTAACAGTCAACGTGAACGCCATGGCGAACAATCTAACCACCCAAGTACGAGACATCATCAAGGTCACCACCGCTGTCGCCAAGGGCGACCTCACCCAAAAAGTCCAAGCCGAGTGCAGAGGCGAAATCTTCGAGCTCAAGAAAACCATCAACTCCATGGTCGACCAACTGCAACAATTCGCACGTGAAGTCACCAAAATTGCTAGAGAAGTCGGCACCGAAGGAAGGTTGGGCGGTCAGGCTACTGTCCACGACGTCCAGGGGACATGGAGGGATCTTACGGAAAATGTGAACGGTATGGCCATGAATTTAACAACCCAAGTGCGTGAAATCGCCAAGGTCACGACTGCCGTCGCCAGGGGCGACCTCACCAAGAAAATCGGGGTCGAAGTCCAGGGCGAAATCCTCGACCTCAAGAACACCATTAATACCATGGTTGACCGCCTGGGTACGTTTGCCTTCGAGGTCAGCAAGGTCGCTAGAGAAGTCGGCACAGACGGCACCCTTGGCGGCCAAGCTCAAGTCGACAATGTCGAGGGCAAATGGAAGGATCTCACCGAGAATGTCAACACCATGGCCAGGAACCTCACGTCACAGGTATGTCAGATGATTCTGCCCCGGGTGTAGCCGTTTTCTTTTTTACTTACCATACACTTCTCCAGGTGCGAGGTATCTCGACCGTCACACAGGCCATTGCCAATGGCGACATGAGCCGCAAGATCGATGTCGAGGCCAAGGGGGAGATACTCATTTTGAAAGAGACCATCAACAACATGGTTGACCGATTGTCCATATTCTGCAATGAAGTGCAAAGGGTAGCCAAGGACGTCGGGGTCGACGGTATCATGGGTGGCCAAGCCGACGTAGCAGGCTTAAAGGGCAGATGGAAAGAAATCACAACCGATGTGAACACCATGGCTAACAACTTAGTAAGTCGCCCCTCTATTGCGCCGGTTCGGGGCCTTTTGGGGCTTGGTTGACTGACACATCTCGACAGACGGCTCAAGTGCGCGCATTCGGTGACATCACGAACGCCGCCACAGACGGTGACTTCACCAAGCTTGTCGAAGTTGAAGCTTCGGGCGAGATGGATGAGTTGAAAAAGAAGATAAACCAGATGGTTTACAACCTCAGGGATAGTATTCAAAGGAACACACAGGCCAGGGAGGCGGCCGAGTTGGCCAACAAGACCAAGTCGGAGTTCCTCGCCAACATGTCGCACGAGATCCGGACGCCCATGAACGGCATCATTGGCATGACCCAGCTCACGCTCGACACGGATCTGACACAGTACCAGAGAGAGATGCTTAATATTGTCAACTCGCTGGCGAACAGCTTGTTGACTATCATAGACGACATTTTGGATCTGTCTAAGATCGAAGCGAGGAGGATGGTCATCGAGGAGATCCCGTACACCCTGCGGGGCACCGTCTTCAACGCCCTCAAGACGCTGGCCGTCAAAGCTAACGAGAAGTTCCTCGACCTCACATACCGCGTCGACAGCTCTGTGCCGGATCACGTCGTGGGTGACTCGTTCAGGTTACGTCAGATCATCTTGAACCTGGTGGGCAATGCTATCAAGTTCACCGAACACGGCGAGGTCAGTCTCACCATACAGAAAGCATCAGCTGTGCAATCCGGGAGTATGGGAGAGTACGCCATCGAGTTCATCGTGGCCGACACCGGCATCGGCATCCCGTCGGACAAGCTCGACTTGATCTTCGATACCTTCCAGCAGGCCGACGGTTCCATGACGCGCAAGTTTGGCGGCACCGGGCTTGGTCTGTCCATCTCAAAGAGGCTGGTCAACCTGATGGGCGGTGACGTCTGGGTCAAGAGCGAGTACGGCAAGGGCAGCAAGTTTTATTTCACCTGCATTGTCCGACTGGCGAACGAGGAGATCGCTTTCATCTCAAAGCAGCTCAGCCCATACAAGGGCCACCAGGTGCTCTTTATCGACAAGGGAAGGACCGGGCACGGGGGCGATATCGCCAAAATGCTCGCTGGCTTGGGCCTACTCCCTATCGTTGTCGAGTCTGAGAAGAACCAAGCCCTTGACAAGGTGCGCGGCCAAGGGACGGCTCCCTACGACGTCATCATTGTCGACTCCATCGAAGATGCCCGCAGATTGCGCTCGGTTGACGACTTCAAGTATCTCCCGATCGTCCTCCTGGCACCGGTGGTCCACGTGTCACTTAAGTCGTGCCTGGATCTGGGTATCACCTCCTACATGACGACGCCGTGTAAGCTGATTGACCTGGGCAACGGAATGGTGCCCGCTCTGGAGAACAGGGCCACCCCGTCACTAGCGGATAACACCCGCTCGTTTGAGATTCTGTTGGCTGAAGACAACACGGTGAACCAACGACTCGCCGTCAAGATTCTAGAGAAGTACCACCACGTGGTCACCGTGGTAGGGAACGGCAAAGAGGCCGTTGACGCCGTCAGGCACAAGAAGTTTGACGTCATCCTAATGGACGTTCAGATGCCCATCATGGTAAGTTCTTTTGCGCTCGGTATTACCTCAGCTTTCTAGTCATTGACACATTGTACAGGGTGGTTTCGAAGCCACAGGAAAGATCCGTGAGTACGAACGCAGCTTAGGCAGCCAACGTACACCCATCATTGCCCTCACGGCGCACGCTATGATGGGCGACCGAGAGAAGTGCATCCAGGCACAGATGGACGAGTACTTGTCCAAGCCGCTGCAGCAGAACCATCTCATCCAGACCATCCTCAAATGCGCGACCCTTGGCGGTCAACTGCTCGAGAAAAACCGGGAACGGGAGCTCGCGCGCACCGCCGACACCGCTACGAGTGGCCGCCGCGATAACCCCGCGCTTGCGGCCGCGTACCAGTCGGCGGCGGCCACCAACAGCGCCTCTCGGCCCGCACTCTCGACGCGGGCTATTACGACTGCCGAGCTCGACAGCCCCTCGTTGGTAACGGCGGACCAGGAAGATCCCATAACCCGGTCACGTACCAGCCTTTCAGAACCAAACATCCACGCAGCATAAACCAACTTTTGTGGGCACTGGGTTTTCTGTCGCGGTACGGCGTGCCACGTGCGTCTACCTTGCCTACGTGGGCGTGGATGGTTGCTTTTGTTTTGCCGCATAGTGCGGCTCGGCTCGGCTCTGATGTTGGTTTTGCGTTAGTTGGTTGCTGGTTCGGTCTGGTCTGCTCTGGTCTTGGGTTCCGGGTTTGGGTCTGGCTTGGTCTGGTCTGGGGTGTTTACTTGTTTGCTTGGTTGCTATTTTTGCTGCTCGGCCCGTGGGGTTGGTCGTGCTATTTTGTGGTGGTTTCGTCTCATCTGGTCCTTTATTTTCCCGCGCGTCACGCCTACCTCTGGCACCCCAGACTGGACTGATCCTGTCTTTATGTTTCGTAACTGTCGTTGCATGTGATACCTACAGCTGGTTAGAAACGTCTCGCTTGTTCTGTTGATCGTCTTGCTATTTTGGCCTTGCTGTTATTTGGTGTTTTGCTTTCCCCCCAAGCCAGGTTTGTTGTTTTCCAGCCCCGCCGCCGCCGTCGTCCCCCAGGTTTGACTAGCAAGAATCGTCTCATTCTTTGCGCGGAGTGATAACGTAGTGGGTTCGAACGCCACCAGCCTCCGCATCATCAGGAGGAAGACCTATTGCATCACCAACCCCCCTTTCTCCCAAACCCTCATACTTAATGATTTAGTTATGCAAGCACCTTCATCGATGGGCTGGTAGTGCCAGTGGTACTTCGCACCAACCCAACGCATTCAAACCGCAGTCGCTGCAGGAGGGGTCTTCAACGTTCCCTAATACAGCCCTATCCAACTGCAACAGGGCCACCTTAATGGTTACCGTCAAATCATTTCGACGATTACGACAGAGCCGTTCAAGAACTAAAGCAGAGCCGTTCAACGACGAGAGCAGGGCCGTTCAACGACTAGAGCAGGAGCTATTGAAGCAGAGTACACCCTCTAGATACACGTTCCCTCACTCTCTCTCTCACACACACATACGCACACCAACCAACACCACAGACGGCTGGTTGCGGCATGATTGTCCTGTTCACAGGGGAAGAGATGACTCGGGCAGAAACCTTTCGTAGCTACGTCCACAGTTTTTACGACTGTGGTTATTTCAGCGTTAACACGGGTGGTCGCGTGGTCTGATGAGGGGTCACTGACGGCACGGTCACGTAAATGGAAGCAGCTCCTATACCTATGAGTGTGAGGAAGGTAAAAGGCCACGAACTGGATGCACCCCCGGGATCCCTTGAGAAGCCCCTGGGGGTTTTGTTCAAGCATGTACATGCCGCTTGTGTGGAGAATCGGGAGAATAGTATTTTCTGCCGAAATCAGATTCGCGGGCGGGAACCTGAGGGGTGGAGGAAGGTGGGAGAGGGGAGTTAGGTAGGTAGCTCGAACAGGAAAGAGGAGATGTGCGGAGGAGTAGGTTTGTGTGAGTGATTGGGAGAAAGAATGCCTAACTAGGTAGGGTAACGCACACCCCCCATTGCGCGACATAAGCTATGACTCCTCGCCACCGCCAAACTTCAAGTTCATCTTCTGCTTCCTCCCAAGCTTGATATCGCCGGGTCCGTCGCGGAACTTGCTCTGGCGGGCCTTGACGGCGAGGCAGGCTTCGCAGCGGTGGACCTTGTTGGGCTTACCCTCGCGACCGTGGTCGAGGGCGCCGCAGTATTTGTGGCGGATCTGGTCTTTCCATTCTAAATCAAGAAGGGGGATCAACGGGGTTATCGCCCGCGGCGGTGAGGGGGTTGCATTGCGACGACTTTGGACTTACGGACTGGAGTGTTTGAGGTTGTGCTCGGGTTTTTCTGATATGAGCGACCCATTGTGGTTAACTAACGGTGAGTGGTGTGGTGCGAAACGCGATGTTTTTGCGAGTTGTGTGTGGCAGCCAACTTGAGCGAGTTGAGCCGCGGCGATTACCTAATTCTTGATCCAAGTCATCCTAACTAGTTAACTACCTCTACCACAGTCGGTTGTTCGTTGAGGACAGGCAAGTATAAAATCGTCCACACTTTCACCTGCGTATACATCCACATATTAGTCGCCAACGTGGCGATGTTAGTAAATCATGTTCCTGTTTGACGTCAATCTTAAGGGCTAACGATGGAGAAACCCACGTGGGATATAAGACGGGGTTTTTTGCCCCTCGTCCCATATCCCCTTCGTCCCAACTCACAAGCTTTAATTCGTTCTACCGCTTGCGCTAACCTCCTTGGGTTTCAACTTCACTGTATGGTTAACGTTAAAGTAACAGGGGCAACAGATCAACCCAGGGAGCGGGCGTGTGATTCATTTATTATCTCAGGGTCGAGGACGAAGGGTTCAATGAGTATGTTTTCGCTTTCTCGGCAGTGGTTCTCATATAACTTGAACATTTCTCTCGCCACTCGCCACTCGGCGTTTGGTTCGCGGCCATGGCATGAGTCGTTGAAGTCAGCAGTGTTGTTGTTGTCTTTGGGCTACAACTCTGTTACCTGATACCTCCCGACCTATGTTCGAGCCCGGCTACCCACCTATGTAATGAAGACTTGGGAAGGAATCGCCGATCGGGTTATGGGTATGTGCATACTTACCCACTTGCTCGACATGGAGGGAGGGGAGCCTGGTGATGGAGGGCAGCTCTCGTACCCACCACATGACAGCTATCTAGTACGTCATGTTCAACCTTCTCCCTCGGCAATTACGTTTCGTGGTGCGTTTGGCGATTTGCAAGTCGGGTTGTACCCAAACTCCCGAACTCGGCTCCGACACTTTGGACGGCAACAACGCGTCGTCCCGCCTCCCTTGTATTCCATTCCTATTTGGCCCCTAAGCAAGCCCGCATGCTGCTCTCCATTGCGTCACACACATTTATCCCGCCACTCGCAAAAACGGGCTGTTTGCTCTTCACCTCCTTCGTCTCTGGCTCCGCTTTATATTCAAGAAAGCTGGCAAGCCCCATCTCCTCACATGATACATATTCAAAGAGCTTTACAAAATAACATCCAAAATAAGCAGAAAAATAATAAAATAAAACCACATCGCTCAAGGGTATCCAAAGATGATGCATATAAACAAAGTCAGATGTATGACAAGTTAAATAAGAGTTGTAGATATGACAAAAACACCGGGAACGCCCGTTATGGAATCGATATCAATGCGCACGGCGGTCGACGATCTCGCCCGCCTGCAACAAGGCGCTCATGCCGTCAAAATTTGGAAGTGGCTTCTCCTGTGGCGGTGCCCCGGCCGCAGGTGGCGGATTTTGTTGTATTTGTGGGGGAAAGCCCTGGTTGTGTTGGTGCCCGTTGACGGGAGGGGGATCCTGTGGGAGGGGTGGGGGTTGGTGGTGGTAACCTTGACTAGATGTCAACAAAGGTTTGATGAGCACCTGACTTAGTAGGAGACGTACCGTTGACTGCGGGAGGGCCAGCTGCACCATTTAGTGGTTGATGAACGAGCGCTAGGTTTTGGGTCGGCGTGGTAGGGGTAGTTGTGATGTAACTGTGGTTGTTGTTGGTTGTTGTTGTGAAAGGTAGGATGCTGATGGTTGTGAAAGGGAGGATGTTGGTTGTTGTGGAAAGTAGGATGTGTAGGAGGTTGTTTGGACGTTAGGAGCGCGTGTATCGGCAAGGAGCCGTCAACCTGGGGCCGAGAGTGACTGAAAAGCGGGTTTGAGGACGAGTTCCCGCTCAAAGGGTGACCATTGCCGTCTGTTGACGGTGGCGCTGAGCGTGCATCAAGGCCTATTTGGCCGGGCGGGAGGCCCTGGCCGCCACCAATGCGGGCCATGCGGAAGTGCTAGCTGTTGGGTTCGCTCGGGAAGGCGGATTCCTGGAAGCTCTTGTCGGTCGAACACACCTCAGAGAGTGGTGGTAGGAGTTGCCTGCGCGTGGCCCATCTGCTCTCGGATTTTGATCATCCCCCTTGGCTGGAATGGCGAGGCCCCAGTGGATCCGGGTTGAAAGGTCGGTGAGCGAGGTTCTGAGTGGCTTTCGGCGGGGGAGAGCAGGGACTCCTCGGGGGACGTGATGGACGTTGAGGGGGGCAAGGAACTCGAGTACTGAGAATCGCTCATGGACGCGATGGACTCGACCCTTTGCCGGGCGATAGGTGGCTCGCTTCCCTTGCGGCTGTCTGCGCCACTCCCACTCCTACTGGTCCTTGTCAGAGCCGAGCTAGGGCTGGCTCGACTTTGGCCGCTAGACTCGGAGAGTCTTGCTCTTTTCGAGGCATCCTTGTCTGCAACGCCCGGAAAGTCTGTTAAAACAGCGATGATAAAACGGTTGTCATACTCAACTCGCACACACCTTGTGACGGAGAGGCGTGCTTGGCCTTGAACTCCTGGAGATAGGACATGTACTTTCGGTACTCGGGCGTCTTTTTGTACTCGGAGAGGTCGCTCAGGTACTTGTCCTTGATGGCTTGGGCTTGCGACTCAAAGGGCTCCTTTTCCGCCGCGGTTAGGCTTTGCCAATTCTCACCAACTAGTTTAGCGATCTCGGTAAAGCTCAAATTACGGCCTTTGAGCTCTTCGCGCATCTCTTTAATGCGAGGCTAATGGTTAGCGACTGTTTTGCGGGTTGATAGAGGAACGGACAACATCCCGGGACTTTCTTACTGTTAGAAAAGAGCACGTAGGCTGAGGGGGGGCGCTCCGGCGCATTTTCATCCGGCTAGCTCACGCGGTCAGCGCTGGATCAACGTGCTTGCAGACCCCCCAACACCGCCAGAGGTGGGGCAAACAAACCTTTGGGTGCCGCCGGTACTTCCTCTTCGTGACGGTGGCGCCGATCGTCTCCCGGCTCTCCGCTGTCGGTGCTTCGGCGCTGCTCGTCTCATGGGGTTTGAGGTCGTCGGCGGGTGATTGGGTTGGCGACACTAACGATGCTTCGGGTGCGATTCCGCGCGAGTTGGCGATCCGTCTCTGGAGTTTCTGTGGGTCACCACCGTCAGCAAAATGTGATCCATCCGGGGGTGCGTGCGCGCGCCGGCCTCGGCGACGCCAGGTGCTGTGCTGTGGGCGCGCGGAGGAGGGCAGTGAGAAGGACTCGTACCCGTCGATGGCCCAGTTTCACCCCCAATGCGTCGCTGCGGAAGAGAACCCAGTCAGCATAAAATTCCGGCCTCTCCAGACCTCTCCCATTTTGGCCCCCAGACGCCGCCCTCCCGAGTTCACGTACAGGTCGGATTCGGTAATGTCCAGGATAGTTTCCCAGCTATCAAATCCCTGTTGTAGGAACACATCGAGATACTGGGCAATCCCCAGTTCCCCCAAGATGGCCCCGAGTAATTGAGGCATCTAGACCAGTGCCCGAGTCACGTTTCTTGATCGGCCGTCGTGCGCCGGGTCTTTGGGACCAAGACCGCGGTTTGCCGGGATGATGCGCTGCCACGGCCGAGTGGCTTCAGCGCCCGGAAATATCGAAATACCAAACTGACGGGCGCCTCCCTTTCAAGTACACAAGCTTCTCGTTTTTGAACAAGGCTCAAAGACCTTTTTTTTTTTTTTTTTGGGACGAATGGCCCGGCAACTGCTCGGGCCTGCTGCTCCCGGTTGCGGCGTGTCTCGTTCGCCGGTTGATTCGCAAACGTGCGGGAAACTGTGGCGTATTTCCGGCGATGTAAAAGTTACAATGCGATGTCCTGGGGACCCGGGACCCGGGAGGCGTGTGCGTGGGTGCGGGCGTGGGCGTGGGCGCGGCCGAAGATGCGGATCTCGAGGGGCCAGAATCGAGGTTTCGAAGTGCAAGTGGCTTGCTGGGAGTTTGATTAAAAAGAAGCCTCGAGAGGGGGGTCGTGGTGTTTAGCAGAGGTTGTTCGCGAGCACCGAAGCAGGGAAATCTGTGGAGGGAGTCAATTCCAAGGTCGAGAGACAAATTCGCTTATGCCATGGCATTTCTGTTGTCGGAAGCCGGGGTTTTTGGCTTGGTGGGGTGGAAGTCCCAGGTTCGCGATGACATGCCGAGTTGCAGCACGAGAAGAAGGAGAGGTGGGACGGAATCGAGATGGCCAGGGTCCCCATGATGATGTATTGAATGGCTATTGGGAGAGGGTACTTACACGGAACAGGGGCAAGTCTCCTGCTTGAATGGGGGAACGGGGACTGTCTTGGTGTAACGGGAACCGGCTCGCGTCTGGCCGGGGGGGATGCTGGAGTAGGCAAATGCTTGGGCGGCGCGAAATTAAAACGGGGACCTGGGCCAGTGCCCGGGTCTAGACTCTGCTTCGCCGGGTCAGGAGAAGTGAAGGGAAGGGCTCTGGCTGCTTCTGAAGTTCTCCGGCCAGCCGGCGTCCTGGGGTTGTGTCGGGTTGCTTGGTGTGCTGGTTGTCTGCATGCAAGGACCGGTTCGAGGCAATCAGCCCCGGATCGAGGTGCAGCCCGTCAACTGGAAGTCCGGATCTGCGAGTGCCGTTGACACGGGTTTGTCATGGAGCCTGGAGTCGAGGCCCTGCTCCGCAGCTCCTATGGCCCTATGGCTTTGTTGCGTATCCCGGCTGAGCACCTGAGCGAGGGGGGGGGGGAAGGCTGGGCTGCGATCGATCTGCCAGAAGGCGGCAAGGCGGTTGACAGCCCGTCACCTGTGGCCTACAACAAGAATCGGAGCGATGCAAATGCTTGTCCAAGAAAAATAAGCTTGGTACAGCCTGGCACGGAACCGCGGTTGAAACCAAGGGATCGCCGAAGTACCGGAAGTCCTTGGTCTTCAAAGTCGCCGAGCTTTCTGGGGATCGTGATCGTTTGAGCAGATCGACGACATGTTCTCTGTCCCTGACAATGCACCTAGCACGTCTGGCTGCCCTTATTTTTGCTCCCATCCACTGGACGGCAAAATTTGGGTTGGGTCGAATTAACATGAACTAACGTTAGCGATGCTGCAATCTCGCTCGACCCGGACTTGCTTTGGGTTTTCGGCCCCTCTTGCGGCCTTTTTTCTTTCTCCCTTCTCAACGGCGGTGGTATGTGCAAGCAAGCAAACCTGTCTCAAAAGTCCCATCTCGCCCCCCATGGGCAAATAATCGTGCAACCGATGGGTTGAGCAATGGGAATGCCGATGGGGATGGCGATCGATCTCCTTTTCTCATGCGGGCCGGCTCTGCGTGAACAGCATTTCCGGACGCATACGAAGTCTGCCATACTTGTTGTACTGCCATACCGCCAAACTACCAAACTGCCTGAACATGGAAACAGGAACGAGCCCAAGCTTGTCATGGCAGGGGACTCCCAGCCGCACCCCAAGTCGGACCCCCAGTCGCCGTTCCCGCCCAGTCGCCTTGGGAACGGTGACAGGGCCAGAGGGCGAACAACAATGCCATGGCGGGCCCCGAAGTACTTCGTATGGGGAATGCGCCAGGAAAATGAAAGCCCACCGAACAAGGACATGAGTTTCGTCCTTCGTACTGGGTACAGAGAGAGCCATCTCGATCCCCCATCGAATCGAGCAAAGGCATTTGGAAAAACGTACGATTATTCAAGGATGCAGGCGCTATTGGACCAATGGAAGGTGCTGTACCCGCCGCTTTCCCAAATCGAGCAAGGTGACCGCTGCAGCGCGGTGCAGGCATGACCACCGACGAACCAATCCCCGCATTTGTTCTGTGGATGTTCGGGCGTGTTCGGCGGTTGTCTTTGATGGAATTGAAGAATTGAGATGGGATCGAGGATGGAACCGATGATGGAATGATGGCGCCTTGGGCGCCTCTGTGGCTCGAGCATGGCCAAAATCCGACTCGGAATGACGGGAAACTGGAATTGTTGAGGATGATGGTGTTCCTCCTTTCCCATGCACCACGCTGCAGGCTGCCTCGGAAGGAAAAGGCTGGTCGATGGAGTATGGAGTCTGGGCTGCCTCGCTGCTTGGCCATCCTGTTGGTGTTGCGCGGGGAGCCGGGCCCGAAGGGTTGTGGCGGGTTCTGGCGGGTTCGGCAACGAACCACCGATGGTTTGGGGGGCCCATCATCGACGTTTTGCCCTGCAATCGAAGATCCAGGATTCTGCGATGCCGCTCTCGCCTCGACGGACATGCATTCTGCTGTCCCTCCCAATACAATTCACCCAGGCGGTCAGGAATCCAGTTACATGGACCGTGTACATGATAGTTATGGGTATATACAACGAAAAGTGCATTCTCGATGAGATGGCAAAATCCCGATGCGTTTTGGAATACAAAGTAACTATTTCATACTTGATAGTTGTTTGAGTTTTAGTTGGAACGAAGCCTGGGAGAACCGGGCCTGTGCGAATGCAAAGTGGTTTACGCGGAGCCGGGGAGATGCGGAATTACACAAATACCATCAACTCCGGGGGGGGAGACCCAAAAAAAAAAAAACGAAAGAAGAAAAAGAGAAGAAAATCCATACTGTGTAGGAGCCGCGCCACCCGTTATGCCTGCCTCGCTTTGAGAGATTTGCCGGTTCAGCACTTATGGGATTTCCGAATTTAGCATGCCTTGTGCCATCTGGTCATGAGCTCGTTTTGGGGACCCGCAAGCTGTAACAAGCTGGCAGGGAATCGCAGTCGTCCCGATTGGCCAAGACATCGGACAATCGGTCCAAGGCCCAGACCGTTCGCTCTCACGTCACAGTTTCTCGGATACCCCTGGATTGCATTTGGTTGCGGTCGCATGGCAAAGAGGAACATGTGGCGACTGATTGAAACAAGCTTAATTGTCGCAGCACCGACAGTCCGGACGACTCCTAAGAGCTTGGCTGAATTCCTTCCGTGGCGTTAGTTACTGTGTCGTTACAAGCCGCAATTGCATAAGGGTAGGTACTTTGTCACTAACTAACCAGTTACCTCACTACCTAACCGAGGGACAGTTTCGGCGCCGAACCAGTGGAGTCAGGTACGCAGATAGTCACAGCAGTACACTGGGGAGGAGGATTGGCAGGTAGCAGCCGCTTCCAACACACAAACGCCGTCGCCTCGCCACAGCCGTCGGGCGTTTCGTTCGTTTCGGTTGGCACGGCGTGAACTCCGTCCCTCGTTAGTGGCTCGCTCAGTTATCTTTCGATAGAAAGTCGCACTTTTCTACCCCCCAGTTACATATCAGCTTGGAGTTAGTTAAAGATCGAGAACAATCGAAAACAAGAACGAAAGAAAGGGAAAAAAAAAAAAACGAATCATATCCCCCATCAGCACATGGCACCAATCACGGACCCCAAGCCCCAAGAGGGCCAGAACCCCTCCAACAACGGGAACCCCGAACCTCAGGAACCGCCGGCGTTATCACCGTCCTCGTCGTCGGTCGGCGACAATCTAGCCCAGGTAAGCCAACTACACTAAACCAAGCAACCCCCCCCCTTAGCACGTCCCCGCCGCCCGGGTCCGCTTCTCGGGGGCACCCGCCCGTTCTTCTTCCAGCTTCTTCAGCCCTGTTTCTCTCTCGTGTCCATGGCGGTCACTCGTCGCTGACGTTACCGTCCCTGCGGTCTAGGCCCTCAAAGACCTTGCAAGGTATGCCGCTTCCCTCTCCACCCATGTCCTGCCTCGGAGCCCACGATTCGGTTTCTCGAGTTCAAGAACTGCACCCGCCGCCACCACTGGTGCGCATTTGGCGATTTTACCCAGAAATAACACTCTCTCAACGCTCCCTTCCCCCCACCACTGGGTCACTCTCACCGCTTCACAAGAAGCCAGAGACACAACCAGGACCCGCCCCGACCACTTGCAGCGAGCCCCATTACTCGTAGCAAGCTGGACCCGGGTCGGCGGATACCCCTATTCGGTATGCAGGGGATGCTGCAGCAAAAGGACCCTGAAAAAGAGACCCTGAAAAAAGGGACGCTTGATCCGCCCGCCGGGGCTTCACGGGACCATCCTTTCCCCAAAATTCCCCAGCCCGCATGGCATAGTGCGATGCAATAGTTCAGCCGCGCTACGGAATGGGACGGACAGAAGCAAAGCTGCAGCCCTAGTGCTAGCGCCTACTCGTTTTCACTTTGCCGTTTTTTTTTATTAGCGCTCCTATTCCCACCCGCGCACCGAATAGCTTCGGCAGCAACTCCGAGAAAGTTGTTGTGGGGGTTGGAAGGGGAGACAAGAAAAAACGGAGATCTGGGGAGAAAGACACGGAGGGTAACCACGTGGCTGCCGGCTTCCGGCTTCCGGCCGCCGTTGCCGCCCACCACCTACCCACGCATACAGACACGCTACAGACACACATCTACACATAGCTCCATACACCCCAGATTCATACACACACGCATACACATCCACATACATTCCTACAAACAGACATACACACAAACACCACACACCCCACAGACAGCCAGCCAGCTAACTACCACACCCCCCATTACCAAACAAAACAGGGGTGAGCAAGCAGCTAGCACACTCGAAGCGAACCTGACCAACCTCGAGGGCAAGCTGGACGAGATCCTGGCGTCGTTTGGCGTGTCGGCGGCCGACCTCGACGCGCTGGACGAGCAGGAGGCGGCGCAGAAGAAGAAGAGCGAGGGCCAGGAATGTGGGAAGAAGGGTAAGGGTGAGAAGGGGGGGTCTTCTTGATTGCATGGGCTTGTTTGATGTATAGATGGATGAGCATGGGTTTTCTAGCTATCCGTCTCTCTATCAGGGTGAGGACCTATTTGGGGCACGTGGGGATGGGTTGGTTCGCATGACTGGGTATAAACGACATGCATTAGCGTGGTATGCAACACAAAGAACCATTTCAAGAGGACTATCGGGCTCGTAACGTTCGGGCTGCATGTCCGTTCCTGCCTGGTCCTTGCGAGGGTGGTTTGGTTGGTGTAACTGTAAACAATAACATTCATCATAAAAAACCATCATCGGCCACACCCAAGCCAGCCCGCTGCGTGCGTGTGTGTGTACATCGGCATACGTTGCTCATCAACTAGTCGGTCACAAGAAAAAATGAAACCCAACCCACCCGGTCATACAAAAGCCAACCAAACCCGACCCAACCTCATTTATCAGTCAACACCTCATCCCAAAAAGACCACACTAGTTGACCAGTTACTCCCCCTCCGTAATCTCCGCATTCCAGTCCTTCTTGATCAACAACTCATCCAACCCCTCCGTCTTGGAGATAACAAGGCCCTTCTCGTTGGCCAGGTGCAACAAACAAATGAAACAGAAGCTGGTCGAGATGTCGTCCATGACCGGCTTCGCGTAGACACGCTGCAGGCCAGTCATGACCTCGGTAAACTTCAACGTCGGGTCCTCTCCGCTGCGAGACGAGGCGGGTTTCTCGGGCGAGGTGGGGGTCATGAGGCGGCTGTTGTTTGCCGCGTTGTTTTGCTCCTGATAGAGAGACGTCGTTAGTTTCAGGGGTGCGTAAATAAAAGAGGGGGTCAATAAAAGCGGGACTCACCTCAAGCTCCTCCAAACCTATCCCCTTCCAGATCTCCTCCTTCAGCCGCCTGACATCCACCTTCTTCGCCACGCGCGCGTACTGCACATACTCGGGCCTGGCCCTCCTGTTCTGCGTCACCAGCATAGTCCCAAACGCCAGATCGGCCGGGTTGGTCACCGTCAGCCCGCCAAACGCGCCCGTCATGCCCACGTCGGTCATCGGCCCGCCGGCCTCGGGCGAGAAGTGCTCGCGGGCGTCCGCAAACTCGTCCATGTCGTCGTCGTCATCGCCCAGACCGCCGCCGCCGGCGAAAGGCAGGCCGTCGTCCTGGAAGAAGTTGGCGTCGTAGTCACCTTGCGGCAGGCCTTCGTCGGGAGAGGAGCCGTGTTCGGCGGATTGGAGAGGTGCCTTCTGCGAGGCCCAGAATGCCTCATCCATCTCGCCTTCGGGAACGTCGTTCTGCTGGCGTTGCGAGTCCATGTTGCCTATCCTGCTTCCGCCGCCTAGGACGCGCCGGCGGCCCATGCGGGCTTTGGGCTTCAGGAAGAGGTTGAGCAATTGTTTGGAGCTGAAATGCTTGTCGTCGGGGAGGAGGTTACGCGATTTAGATTTCCAGTCTTTCTTCGAGAGGGAGATGGTCGAGTTGCTTGAGGCTTGGGTGTAGATGACCTCGGCCACGGCGGGGTCGAGGGGGGCGGCAAAGTCGATTTCGAACGGCTGCTTTTCTTTGCGCTGCCTTGCCGGCTCGGTGGGTTTGTTTACGTCCTTGATCTTTCGTATCCTCCAGTGCTCGGCGCTGCTCCAGTTCTTTTGCAGGGCTTGGTCGAAGTAACCGAGGATGTCCTCGTGCATCCTGTCGGCCTTTTGAGCGTGTGTCATGGAGATGGCATAGTCGCCGTCCCCAGTGTCGAGCATATCGGGCGCCATCGCCTTCCCCGTCAGCGCCAGCACCATCGCCCATCCCTAGGCCAGCGTCATAAACACGCATCATTTGCGGCTCTAGAGCAGCCTCTCGCGCCCATGCCTCTCCTCCCTCACCGAACTCCACATCTCCACCCAAGTCGAAAGTCCCGAGCCCGTCTTCGTCGTCGAAGCCAAGAGGGTTTTCCTCATCGATAAACATGCCCGATTTGTCGCCAATCCCGCCGGGCCCTGGGGTCTTTTCCTTATCTTGGTCACGCCAGTCGTCGGGTGCCCTGAGGAAGGGTATGTCCAAAGAGCCAGAGGGGTCGCCTAAGTCGAATGCTTTGAGCGAGGGGCAGACGTCCATGCTGTCCAAGAGGCCGAGGTCCGGGAAGAATCTTGCGCCCAGGCCGCCAACGTCAATCTCGACGTCTCCCTCGTCCTCCGGTTCTTCCGGCACCGGAGTCAGCTCCCGATCGGCCATTGAAAGATCGCCATCCTCATCCTCGCCATCGATATCTTCGCTACGGCCCCGCTCGCGGGATTTGGAACTGGCCACGTCCTCGGCGTCGTCGCTGCTGTCAAACACAATGCGCCCCTGTGAGTCGATCATGAGGTGGTTCAGAAGGAGGCCTTTTGCGCCGCCCTCGTCAAAGTCGGCGGATGCTTTCTTGAAGAGCGGGTCAACTGCGAATTCAAGCTCGAGCTTTTTGAGTTGCAGTGACGCAAAAGATGGCGCAAGGGTGGCCTCGGAGGATCTCTGAGTCTGCTTCGTGGTTAGCGGCGCGGCAAGGAGATACAGTGGCTATCCTGGTCCGCGCACCTTCTTTTTGGCCTTCTTCCTAACATTTCCATCCTCATCGACCTCGTCTTCCTCCTCCTCCTCTTCCTCATCGCCGTCGCGGCCCTTCCTCTTGTTGTCGCGGCTATCCGCCAACCCGCTCAGCAGCTTGCCCGTCTCGGTGGCGACACTGTCAACTCTGCTCGTGTAGATCTTGACACAGCCGTCAAGCGTGCAGCTGGCCTTTTGGAAATTAACACCGTCGCCCTCCTTGAGCAGAGACATGTCGTGGAAGTAGTCGATAAGGGCAAAATTCCACGAGTTGGCGGCGTTGATCTTGTTATCGGTGGCCATCTTCATCCACTCTTCAAAGTTGGCGAGGATGGGCACCCGCTTCATCGGGGTAACGGCCTTCCCGCCCACAATGAGCGGCTCGTCGTCGTCCATGATGATAGTGTGGGCACCACTCTTTCGGCGGCGCGGAGTGCGCGGACTGGATCCTGGCGGCTCGGCATCCTGGAGGTCGTTAAACGAGGAACTCGACTTTCGTGGGGTGTTTGTCGCGGCGGCCCTCAGCTGGTTGCTTTGGGCTTCGTGGTCAGCCTTGCGGCCGTGGGATCGCTGCGCCTTTTCGTGGGCATCGTCGTTGAGGGGGATTCTACAAGATTTGCAATTAATGAACGCTGTCTCGACGTATCTGGCGTGTGGGTGTGCGTGTGTGGTACGTGATGTTTCAGGCGGTCTCTTCTGCGGGGAACCGAAAATCAAGATGTCATAGGGCGCGACTCACTTTACTGGCGATTTGAAAGGCGACGCAAGCAGAGAGCCAGAAGGCACTCTACTCATACTCCTGCGGTGACCCTGGGCGACTCGAGGCATCTTGTCGTGCAGTCGTGATGCTGTTGCAGATCAAAGACGCTGAAGCCGTCGACTCCGGAAGTGGTAACCCAAAACTGTTTGTTTACTTTGGTGGTTGAACCGGAAGCGGCCGGCGATTGGCTGGAGGGTGATTGAAAGCACGTGCTGATAAGATGCCCCGCTCTCAGGGGCGTCTCGGCCACCCACTCGCCATTTTCCCCATTCCACTTCTGTGAATTATGAACCCCTCTGCCCCCCAACAGCAACAGACTTGACGCGACAATTGGGTCACAATCTTTCCTAGGCTGCCATTCTGGTTCGGCTCGCATTCGCTATGCTCAGTGGATTCTCACACAGCAGAGTTACCATCTGATCGTCTGGCTTACCTACCACCAACCAGGTTGATCTGTGACATGGACAATTCATGCGGAGTCGAATTGCCGGTCTTTGCTTTGCAGATCTGCGCAGAAAGCTTGATATTGGGGACGTCGCTTTCCTCAACCTTGGCCCTCCCGTGTTTCACGCATGGAAAGCAGAGGCAGTGCTGGAATGCGAAGTTGTTTCCCTCCCTGCAGAAACCCGTCCCAATGGACTGGGACTACTCCGTACGAAGTATTCATACATACCTTGGATCATTTGGCCGACTTCAACTTGCTGCTGCATTGCTGATGCCACTCCGGAAGAGGATGCATTGGCAGATTGGCTAGACCTGGCAAACTACCGTTCTGCTCTGACACGCCTCCGGAACTCTTCCCCGCGAAAAGCGTATCTCACCGTGGTGGCCGCAATAATATTCATTGGTTTGCATCTGCTTTCTTCGTCCCAAAAGCTCGCTTGGCTCGCCAGCTGGCGAAGCAGGTTTCAGTGGTGTCCCAAACCACCAGCACCTTTTTGTCCAATGGGCGGCCTCAAAAGAAATGACATGGATCTGATGGTGGCGGATTTGGTAATAATGACAGCTCTTCGATCCTGGTTCTCCCACGCGTCCATAGCAGCGGGTTAACGTCACGGCGACACGCAATGCGACAACTCGTCTTGTCGGTGTCGGTCTGAGCTCAAGCTGTCTCGGCCCAGACCTAAGCCTAAGATGGAGTGATTTGATCATCTCATCTACCTAGCCAAAACAACAACTTATTTAGACATTAACAACATAATTTGATTCTGTGCGATTTATCTGATCTACGAATAACTAACTTGACTCGTTTTCTCACAAATAGCACAATATTTATACATCGACGAATATCTCCCTTCCGATTTTAAACCACATACCACCATGCTCCCCCATTAACATAATGCCGCCATCCCGCCCAATACGCCGCCGATACGGCGCTCGGCCGGCCGTTGCGGCAATCCTCCTCGTCGCCGTCATAGCCACCCTTGCTTTGTTCCAGTCAACGGCATCGGGAATCATCGGCGATGGTCATCTGCGGGGCCGCTCCTTACTCAGTCCCCGAGGTTTGCACGAGACCGACGCCGACTGTCGCAACGTCCACGACGCCGCCGACCAGTGCGCTTTCATCTTGGCCAACTGCGAGGACGACGAGGCCGGTCTGATTCATTACCTGTCCTTTTATTACTGCACTCTGGGCTCCGCTAAGCCCGTCGCCTTCGCCATCCTCGCCCTCTGGCTTGGCCTGCTGTTCACCACCATTGGCATCGCCGCCAGCGACTTCTTCAGCGTCAACTTGAGTACCATTTCCAGCGTGCTGGGTCTGAGCGAGAGTCTGGCTGGCGTCACTTTCTTGGCCTTTGGAAATGGCTCCCCGGATGTGTTCAGCACCTTCGCCGCCATGGGCTCTAACAGCGGGAGCATGGCGGTTGGCGAGCTGATCGGTGCTGCAGGTTTCATCACCGCCGTGGTGGCTGGTTCCATGGCCTTGGTACGCGAATTCAAAGTCAGCAAGAGAACATTTGTCAGGGACATTGTCTTCTTTATCGTCGCCATCAGTTTTACCATGGTCTTCCTGGCTGACGGGGAGCTGCACCTGTGGGAATGCTTCACCATGATCGGCTTCTACCTGTTCTATGTGATGGTGGTCGTGGGGTGGCATTGGTTTACGGCGCGCAGGAGGCGCCAGCGGGCGAGGGATGTGGCCGCTCGCGCGCACCTCTACGGTGCCTCGGGCCACAGCTCCGATGAGCTGGAACCTTACCGGGATGACCCGGACGAGGACGACGCTGTTCCTGTTGGTAGCCGTTCGAACAGCACTTCGGACGGGGATATCAGCATATTGGAGCGGGGACCGCGGATCGAGGTTTGGAGGGGTGCCGGCCGACGACGATGACGAGGAGGAACAGAAGGGGAGACACGTTGCCGCGGAGATGGCGAGCAGCATGCGTGTCAACCGGTCCCGCTGGGGACGA